GACCTGGGAAGTTTTGGCATAATAAAGTTGAGTTACCCTTAAATCTGATTTGTTATTGACTGCACCCACTTGATCGCCTTATCCCCCGTAGCTTTCCCGATCGGTCTGAGATCGGTAGGCGCGTACGCGAATAATCTGATTGTCACCTAGCCGATAGCCGCCGTCGCGGGAACCACGCTACCAGTCCACGGAAGAAGCTATCTCCCAAGCTACTAGCCCGTCAGTCGGGGCACCCCTGTGACGCCCCCCTCGATGTACCCGCTTCTGGATTGAGAGCCGCCATGCCCCGAACTACACCTAGCTAGCCGAACGAGCCGCAGCCGTGGGTGGCCTTGTAAACCACCCGTTGCCCCCCTCCCCCCCTTTCGCTCGATGCGCCTCCCCGTTTCAGACTCGAACGAATTCGTGGCCTAGGACTTCGCGCTCCCACTTCATCCTTCACAGGTGATAGCCGGCCACGCGCAGAGCACCGACGGCGACGAGGAGGGAGGCAGCGGGGAAACCACCCGACCCTCACAGCGACCAGCAGGACCACGCCGAACCAGCCAACGCTGCAGCGCTACCTGCTCTCCTAACGCGAGAGCACGGTAGCTGGCGCCCAACGAAATAAATAAAAGCTGCATACGTTGTCTCGGCTGACTGCGCGCCGCTGGCGACAGTGCGAGACCGGAGAAATACCTGTCAATTATTTTTCCCCTCCCTCTCCCCCGTCGCAACTTTTAGAAACTGGTGACTGGCTTCTTCATCACAACAATGCTTCAGCGCACACCTCAAACTTTGTGCTGCAGAATTTATTGAAACACAGTATTGCGCAGCTCTACCAGCCTCCATACAATCCCGATATAACTTCCTACGATTTTTTGCTCTTTCCTCAATTGAAAATGCCGATTCGATAATAAAGAAACTGTTGAAACTATGTAATGCGATGAATGCACCAAAGGCGAGTCCAAAGTCTGACTTTCAAGAATGCACTAATAAGTGGAAACATCGATATGAGCGTCTTATTCAATCAAATAGGGACTACATTGAAGGATGCCACCCCCCCTGGATAACATAGATTAAATCAAGTACCGAAAAATCGAGGTAGGTTGGATTCTTTAGGGACAGACCTCCTAGAAAATAGATTTCATCTATTATTTTACATTTCTGGATCATTAAAATTTTCTGAAATATGTGAACTTGAAAAAGTGTGCTATTATATTAACATACCACCTTTCTTGGTATTCTACTTCTTTGATATCTTGATGCAATAGTTGACCTCGTTCTTCATTGTATCTCCAACGATACTGAAAAGCAATTATGATGGAATTCTAGAAAATGTAACTTTAAATACATTAAACAATTTAACTCTATAAATTCTTTAATCAACGAAAGATTTATTGAAATACTTTGAAATTTTTCAATAAATATTCTTCGAAAGTTTCGTAATTTTCACTCTACTAATTTTCCAAGAAATATTCTTAATATTTTTTTAAAACTTGACTATGCATCAATTTCTGCCAAGTTTATTTATTAATTTATTTACTTATTTATTTTTATTTATTTTTTTTTTTGACGAATTTTTTATCTCAGTAGACAGTACGGATTTGTGGACCATCAAAAATGTCTTTTTTTTAGTTTAGTATTGCTTATGTCCAGAAATTTCTCTAAAATCAAAATATGGGAAGGATTTATTAAAGGATCACGGATCTGATCCCTGGGTAAAAAATGGTCCACCTGGATCACTCTTTTTATGCATAGTTATTCTTTTTATCTCTACTATTCAAAAACTAAAAAGAATATAAGGTTTTTCGTAAAGCCTGAATACTGTTCTACAGTCAAAGTTAAAATATAAAATTATCAAGTGGTGTTCCACATAATTAATTTTCTATGGTACTATCTCCAAATTCTTGTTTTCTCCAACTTTATTTACTGAGCTATCGAAATACGTGCAAACGAATTTCCATTGTACAGAAGAACAGCTTTCAGATCTACCCAAAGTGTCAATAAATAGTCTCAACTCTTTGTCTTCATAAATATTAAGGATAATATTTTACATATTATATATATCATAATATCAGGCTTAATATTATTAGATGCAATATTATATTATAAATATTAGGTATAATATTTATCCTAGTAAATATCATGCAATTTCTTCATCAACTCTTTCATGTCTATACAGTTGTTAAAATTTGAAGGCACTCCTAATTCCGCTTTATGTCATTTTTTATTTTTAAGCTTTACACTATCTTGGATTTTTTGATTTTCTAGTATATGTTTTCAGTGTTTGCTCTACTCAAAAGAGGTATTCATGCAATCAAAAAACGTTGACCTGATATAGATGGGATTCATAAGAAATTTTAGTTTAAAAAATTGTGTTTCATAAAACAATGAAAATGCAGCAATTTCGTTATTCTACAAACACTTTAAAAATTTGCTATCATTATGCCTCAACATAATTTTTTTAAAAATTTTTTTAAATTTTTCTTAACATAATGTCTAAATTAATCTTTTGTTAACTTAATTTTCTTAACGCCATGTCTAAATTAAACTTTTGTGTTTAGCTGACAAAAATTTCAAATGACTAGGTACGAAAATATTCAACCACATATTCAAATGTATAATTTTCAGCATTTTATAATCACTGATTTTTAGTAATTAAGGTTATTTTTTCCATACATACTATATTGTTATTTTTATTGTACTTTCAAAAATTACATACATGTAGAACGATGCAGAAGTATACTATGCACCTTCATGTATTAGTTTCGGTTTCTATACTAATGACTATGTAGACCTTCTTCCTCTACCATTTTTTTAAATGATTCAGGGGGAGAAAATTTTATACGTAATATGACTGGAACTACAATTTAAGATGGAATCCAAACCATCGGATTAACGGTAACAAATATGCGAAAATTTCATTTCTAAAAATTTTCACATGCCCGAAGTTCAAACCTATAACCTCTTGTACAAAAGCCTGTGCTCTTATTCACTGAGCCACTGTAACTCCTGTAATTTATTTCGAAAATAAAAGCATTTGAGATTAAGATGAACCCAAAGAATTATCTTAATATTTTAAAAATAGTTTAACCCTATTGAAAAAAGAAACGTCACTTTTCTCTAGTTTATTAAAATATAATGAGAAAAACATGTTTTTTTAATTTATAGTGGTTTCATTTTTAAGCTCACAACAAGCCTTCATTCTTCAGGTATACGTAGTTTGTGGTTTGAATATTTTCGTTCATAGCTGTATACATATACAAAGATAAAGAAAAATCGTTAACATTTTGTAAATTTGTAAAATAGTTAATAAATGAATTTAACCTAATATTTATAAGGATGAAGAGTCAAAACCATTTATTAACTTTTTAAAATGACTTGAAAGCCTATTCTGCACAATAAAAATATGTTTGCACATATTTTGATAGCTCAGTAAATAAAGTTGAGGGATACAAAAATTTGGAGATAGTACTGTAGAATAGTAGATTATGTGTCTAAGCCGAGAAAGTATCGGTAAGTTCATAGCACGTGAGAATTTACAACCGAGGCGTAGTCGAGGATATCAAACAAGTACTGTAGGCTTACCAATTTTCTAGCCATGGTGCGTACATAATTCTTTCACCTAGCGAGGTCGTAATTAGCATGTTACTAACCTAATCACAGACGGAAAAATACTACTTTTAAGCCACTGGGTAAAAAATTAATTATGCGGAACACTAATTGAAAGTATACGGAGATCTTAAAATTTCAACCCTGTTCTTAGGATATCAGTCAGGCTTTATGAAATATCCTTATTTCTTATATCTTTGAAATAGTATAGATAGGAAGAATCACTATGCATAGAAAGAGTGACCAAGGAAAACAAATTTCTATTCAGAATTAAAAAATATCCATGACCCTTTAATAAATCCTTCACATATTTTTATTTCATCCGTACATATCAAACTTCGTTTTAAGAAGCCATTCATTGAAGCTCTGAATAAAGAGATTCTATGTTTTTAATATCGAAGAGAGAAATTTCTAGGCATAAGCGATATTAAATTAAAATGTAGTAATTTTAATGGTCCATAAGTTTGTGCTTTATTTTAAGATGAAAAATTTATTACAAAAATGAATCCTACAGAGAATGCTGTATAGTCAATTTAAATAAAAAAATCGCAGAGTGTTCTTGAAAAATCAGTAGAGTGAAGATTACGAAACTTTGGTTGAAGATTTATTAGAAAACATGAAAGAGTTGGATTATTTAATGCATTTAAAGTTGCAATATCTAAATTTCCATCCTAATTACTTTCCAGAAAACCTCGGAGACTACAAAGATAAACAAAGTAAACGGTTTCATCAAAATATCAAAGATTGGGAACACTGGTATCAAGAAATGTGGGATGTGAATGAGATGGCAAATTTTTATTGGATGCTTAAGAAAGAAAAATAGTCAAAAACATAGAAGAAGAAAAGAAATCTGTTGTATATATCTTTTGAAAACTGCCTTTAATCCTGACCCCGGATTCGGACTCGGCGTGTCAAAATACATAAGGATATAGGTATGTCACTTTTGATAAGACGACTTTTTTGTGTGCCAGTTACGATTTTTACATAATCAAATAACCCTATTAGTTTGTACTAGCATCTTTTAGTACGAAATGCTTTGTCAGTACAATTATATTGACAAAACATTTTGTACCAAATGATACTGAAATAAAATTATGTATATTGCTCATCCATATTTCTGAAGCTTGTAGCTTTTCTATTTTTACACCAAACAAAACTTGCTTCTGTATAAATAAAACTACTCAATACAATCTCTGTCTAGAAATGAAGCTTATAATCATAAATTTATTCCACAAAGAAGGTTTAAAATTGTATTGACTTATTATTTATACCATATAAAATTTTATTTCAAATGATACCCTAAGTCCAGTTGATGAATAATTATTATACTGTTCATAAAATAATATTGATAATATTTTCTGAATGAATATTGTCAAAAATGTTATTATCGTGCTTTTTTGTTCCAGCTATCACAGCAATACCAAAAATAGTTTGTGAAACCATCCATGCCCTAGAATTACATGATGAAACACCATCATGGAAAATTATGGACAATAAGGGCCGCGTCACTGTGGTCCTGCATTGGGATCAGCGCTCATCTTCAACACAGATGCAGCCTAAAATTTCTGAAACTGGGCAAACGTCCAAATACTCGCCGGCGAAGAAAAATGACTCAAATTTAAATCACCGGTCATCATTAATCATTCAAACAAGTCTAGATAAATTAAATTATAATAATAAATCACCAACTTGTTCCGATATTATCGGATTAGGGACACGGTATAATAGCCCACAAATAACTGTGATAAACCATGATGATGTGGTGCAACGGAGCTTCGTTAGTCAAAGTAACAGTTCCTATGGCGCAGTAAATCAGCATGGTCACTTAGTTAAGCAGGGTACTGGCTCCTTCGATAGCACAACTATTCATATCCATACTGCCGAATGTTCAAGTCATATTCATCAACCGATAACACGAAATGGAAGTCCTATAAATAGTATTGATAACAGCCAAGGTCCGGAATGTGACTTTCATTGTTGTGCATTACATGAAGAAGGTAGACGTATTGCTGTCCATAAATCCGTAGCAACATCACCAATTCAAGATCCACAATTACATGGTATACAACAAATTATACAAAATTCTTCACCACAGCCAATAAGCTCATTGTCAGATGGTACGCGTCGACAAGGTATAACAAAAGGTCATGTTCGTTTTTGTGATACAACTACTGGAGATCATTTACAATCACAAATCTTAACGGAACATTATTCACAACATCACGAGCAGCATGAAAGTTCCGAGTCTGAAACCGAAAATACAATCATTGAAGATGAAGTCATAACATCTGAAAAATTTTTATTATTAATTGATCAACTAACAGTAGATCAAAAACATCATCTTAGTATTAAAGATATAGGTATTATTCTCGAACGACTGAATTCAAAAATTCTTGATGTTGAAAAACTTGACCGTGAAAGCGAAAGTGATGAATGTTATAACTGGACTATCAAAGCTATTATCAGAGGTGATATGTTACGTGAGCTTGGAGTAATTTATAATGGTAATTACTATGCAATATCTGAACATCCTGGATACAAAGAAGAATCTGAAGATAATAACGATGAAAATGATGATGATGATGAAGTAGAAAACAGACTTTAATACTACAATACTGTTGTTCTATTCATTTCAGTAAACATCTGGTCACTGCCATTGTTGAAACTAATTTTACACTCCTTTAACACGTTTTCAATCGACAAACTATATATATAAGCACACTGTTCAGTCACACAAAAGTATTGTTAATAAAAGTTTGAAGATTTAAACATTTATGAAAAATTCAAGCAATGAATATTGCTTATCATGTCCATTTCAGACAGCAAAAAGTTTCTGAAATGATTATCAAATTAGATAATAGTATTTCGCGAAAAATAGAAAGATAAAATAATTATTGAATTTCTTATTAAAACTAATAAATATTTATAAACTACATATCATTTTACTTGAATTGGAAAGACATAAGCTACCTTCATAAATTTATCACATTTATTTATAATAATATACATCATATATTTCATAAAAATAAAAAATCTGTTCACTGGATTTCTATTAATGTCTTCATCGAAAATTCTAGTTTAAACATATAGAAACTGCAGGTTATTCAAATATTTATAATATAAAATATGTGACTACTATAAAAAAACCCACACATTATAAATGAATTATTATCTACATGATTTATGTACTTCGATTTGACTGTTACGATCAGTTAGAGGTATAGGTAATCCAGTTTGTTAAAAAATGGTATAAATATTGTTTGTATAGTAGGCAAAAATTATGATGAGTAAAGTCAAAAATTTTTTTGACCGCTGTTCTTACCTTCAATAGTTTTCACCTATAAGTGCCCATGTGTAAGTCTCCGATCTTTCTGAAATTTTATACATATCTTTAATATCAAACAATAATAGATACAATTTTTTTTTTCGGCGGAGTTTTCTTTTTAAACTTGGAAATAGCTATTTAACGTTTATGTTTATATAGCGTATTACATACGTACACATAATTTAGATTCTGTTGATATGCAAAAGTCAAATTTTTTGGGCCTCAGAATCGATTTTTCACATCCCTTTCATTCTATTCAACTATATTCAGATCACTTCAAGGCAAAACCTGAGTTAAGTGTTTAACCAATCCCAAATTTTGCATGATCTGATCAGGTCCAAAAAGTAAGGATCTGCATTTACTGAACGGTGAACAATTGGAAATATTTAGAAAAGTATAAAAGAAAAGTATGTTGCTAATTCAAAGTTTTTATTTTTAGTAAAAATCATTAAAATAACCTGTATCCTATCAACTAATAATCTATACCTACTGAAGAAACATACAAATCTAAATTCTTCGTAATATAACGTACAATACTACACAATACGTATTTACAATAATATAACATGAACAAATTAACTTACTTTCGTATTATTGAATTACATTACTATGCATCTTTTACAGTAATGAACAATATGATATTTTTAGTGTCATAAAAATATTGAATGCACAGAAAATTCAAGCATCAAGCAAATCTGATGTTGCTACTTGATTACAGTAACTGCAATGTAAATTATAATAATAAAAACAAAATCTACTAGAATAGGTTGGATTTTCTGGCTTTTCTATGATATAATCTTTTCAATATAGCTTTCTATCAAGCATGTTTGAATAAATTTATGAAACATGGCGATGAAAATTAATTATGAGTCAATGTCTAAATTTTCAAGCTGTTATTTCACAAATGCAAATTGATCTCGTATTGTTAAAAAATAATTATACAAGAAAAATATTTAAGAAAGTTATTTCATAATCCGAATTCATAAAAATCAAGTGATTGAATGAAACGAGTTGTACGAGCAAAAATTATCATAACTTTCCCTTTCTCATCATTTTAATTCATTTTATTAAATTTACTCTTTTTAGGTCCAAGTGGCGAATCCAAACAAAATACAGGTCTCATAAATAAACGGTAGAAATACTTCTTAATACCGCTGTTTCGACTCTTTAAAATCACTTATGGTGACGAGAAGATTTTCCTGTGCTCATTGTTGACGGCAACAGTTTTTGTTTTCCGTATTGTTGATATCAACAATCCAAGACTTCCCTGAGCTCTTTCCATGCCTTTATTGCTTTACTGCTACTGGTTCTATCAATTTTCTATAACGTCACCTAAGAATACAGGAGTTTTTTAGTTAGTTATTTGCAACATTAGTTTAGTTTGGTCTTATGTTATTTTTGGAATTCCACACAGGTACTACCAGGAAGGTGAATATTTGACAAATTCTCTGTGACGTGTTGTTTGATGTAGTTGACTTCTGGCCTCTACCAACCATAATTTCATAGGGAACGACTTCTTCTAGGTAAATTAAGCCTCTTACTCCTTGTAAGGAACCTCGTGAGGGTGAGTGCTCCTTTCGTCAGCATCTAGCTTTAAAAGACAGTGCATTAGACTGTAACAAGAGATTTGTAATTGCGCGCTATAAGGAATTCGTGAGCAGTGCGACGAGTCGACGAATCGCTCTGCGCTAACCGGCTAGATTCATACACATAAAAGTAGCGGAGCGCGTAAGGAATATTTCATATCGTTCCCGATGTCGCCGTACCCCTCGCAGACCATCAAAGCTTTCGGGATATGGGACAAGACCTTGGCTAGCTGGCCGAGTACCGCTACAGAAGAGCAACCGGCTACAATCTTCCTACACCGGATTCGAGGACTACGTACGCGGCAAAGTGGGGACACTGCAATCAACTACGATGCATCGAAAATCCGTAAGCGTTTGCTACGTGCTGACCATAACCCGACGTCGACCTGTAGGCCACGTTGTATTTTGTAGGGTTGGATTTGAACTAACGTGCGACACCAATTGTTAGACCCGATAGCGCGATGGGAATGAAAATTAATGTGTACGTTTATCGGTGCCTGGTGAGAATGTGATGACGTATGTCGGTGTGCTAGGTGCTTTTAATGTAAGAATATGTGTATACAACGAATGAAAGAAATCCCCGAAGTGAAATATCAAGTATTTTGTTCATCCCTGTATCTTGCGCCCTAAATTAATTCTCAAAACTGCCTACGTTACTCTACTAACTTTTTGCTAGCCCTTTAATATTTTTTAACTCTAAACATTTTTGTATGTTTTACATTGGCGCCCAACCATGTGTTCGGACTGCATTAACAAGTATGGCAGAAAATGAGAATTCAGATTACATAACGAGAAACGGGAAAACATCGCATAGAATTTTAATTAATTCGTACTTTCCACATCCGAGGAAAACCGTTAAGCGAGAAGGAACAACAACGATGAACGCTCTTCCCGACGATCCACTTCATGACCTTCAACAGAGGCAAAGAGGCCAAGTACAAAACGAAATTCAACGGTTGACTCAACAGCTTGCCGAACGGGAAACTCAAGATTCTTAGAAAATCCAAGAGATCGCGCTCAAAGCATCCTAACTTATGTTACATCAGCAAGCGTCACTATTAAATACAGTGCTGTCGAAGATTCGGCCAGATCTACCGAGTAATTCCGTTTTAATTGTCGATCAAAGTGAATAACTTTGTTTCTTGTTAACAATGATAAAAAGTGAGTTCCGCGCGGTGATAAATCATTTATATTTAAAAGGCCTTACACCGAAAGAAATCAAAGCTGAGTTAGATGCAGTTGATGGTGTATCTGCCCCTGTGTTTGCAACTGTTTACAATTGGGTAAATGAATTTAAACGTGTCCGTACATCGTTATGAACATCGTTCAGGCCATCCTGTAGACGTCAACACTCTGAAAATGATCAATCATAGTGTTAAGTGACCAAGGAATAAAATTGTACGAAATAGTTGAGGCCACAAGGGTTTCAAAAGGTACAGTCATTTCGATTTGGCATGACAAATTGGACACGAAAAAAATTTCTGCAAGATCGATGCTGCGTTTGTTCTCAGCCGAGAACAGACGCAGTCGAGTGGTAACCGCTGAGGCCCTCTTGGCACGCATCCACCGTAACTCGGACGACTTTCTACGTCGATTCATAACTGTAGACAAAACGTGGATACACCACTACACACCGAAGACGAAAGAACAGTCAAAACAATGGATTGTCAAAGGTCAATCAACTTCAAAGAAGGCAAAGACAATGAAATCGGCCGGCAAGGTTATGGCTACTGTTTTTTATGGTGCACGTGAAATTATCTTTGTCGAATATTTAGAAAAAGGACAAACAATCACAGGAGAGTATTATGCGTCATTGTTGGAAAATAAAGAAAAAACGTCCTCAATTGAACAAAAAAAAATTGTTTCATGAGGACAATACACGAGTGCACATTTGATTAGTTTCAATGACTAAAATTAAGGATTTAAAGTTCAAATTAGTAAATCATCCACTGTATTCACCAGATTTTGTCTCTTGTCAATTTTTTTATTCCCAAACCTAAAAAAAAAGATTAGCGAATAATGATTCATCTCGAACGAGGAGATCATAGCACAAAAAAATGGCTATTTTAAAAATACTTAAAGGATGCCTGGAAAGTTTATCGAGCTAGAAGGGGATTATATTGAAAAATTAAAAAATATACCAAAAAAAAATTTTTTTTCTATCTTTTTCTAAGGACTTATTGACTCACCCTCGTATTATACTTTTTAAATCCAAATCATGGAAAGGTAAGCATTTACCAACAACATTATTGATCTGCTCTACCGTAATGTCATGAACAATATCACGTAATATATTACGCTATCAGATATTCCGAGGTTTTTCGAAGATTTTCATTTTTGTATATCTCTTACTTATTTAATCTTTACGTCTATACAAAGCTGTTAAATTAAAAATATTTTTGAATTTATTCTTAACTGATATAAATTTACTCTAACATCTGATTGACAATACTCAAATTCTTTTGTACTCAAAGTCTATGTTTATTTTTATTTCTTTTATTTCCAACTAATATTTTTTCATAAAAATCTTAATAATTATCATTATCATTGTTAACCAAAACTGGATCAGAAAGAACACTTTCCTCGACGTGAAACACAAACTTTCATAAGTTTTTATAAATAAAGTAATATCATACTATCTTTTATCAATTTAACTAAATAAACTGCTAAATAATCTTTTATTCATGAGTTAAAATTGATGTCATATCATATTTCTGTTCCTGAAAGGTTTTTTGATTAAATTTTTTACTAATTTATTCTGTATTTTTAGGATATTGTTCATGACATCATTGTAGCTATTCCTCAGGTAAGTTTGCCATGAGTGGTATTACTTTCAAAAAAAGTATGGTAAATTGTCAATAAAGATTTTATATCCATGAAATTTTTTTGTTTTGATATATTATAAACAATATATCTGACTCTTTTAGTAATAGAATCCATGTAACTCTTCCATTTTAGTCATGACTCCATTACTATACATGAATAATCGAAAAATGTACCCTGTTTACGAGCTTATTCTTGATATGTATGTTTAGTTTGTTTGGAACACTGTCTTAATAAGTTCTAAAAGTCACTCGCTAAAGGTACACTCGCTAACAGACAATTGAGTTCTAGCTATTTGTTAATCTCCATTACATATTTATAAATTTTAGTTTGAGTGTTACATCGCGGTA